TGTTGTTATTGTGGTACTCAAAATTGTCCATTTGCAGTTCCTGTGAGATCCCAAGTCTTTGCAAAATCTTGGTCTCTGTCTAAAGACTTTGTGGTTCATTGGTGCACTGTCTGTAGATGTGAAAATCCCCAAATTAAATCCCATTAAGAAGAAACTTACAAAAGCAATCAGCCAAACTCTCAAATTATTCACTGGAAATATTTCACAGTCAAGGTCAATGTACAGGGAGGATGTCTGATGTCCAGCCTGTACAACAATGTGAAGGCCGCAGTCACTTAAATCTCCCAAAGACTTTGGAGAAAGTGGTTGACCCTGACCTGCAAAGTGAAGAGGAGAACCAGCTTGAACCTGTCGTCTGAGTCTCTCTGCATCATGAAGAAGCCTGCAGACCTTGGTGCCCACTCTGCAGACTGCCCTCACTGCCTCACCTCTCTGTCATTACGCAGATCAGACTGTGCAATTAAGTGCTCACACGCCCTTTCAGAAGTTTCTTCCTCAGTGCTGTGGGGATCTACAGAAATGGAGCTGCATGTTAAACAGGCCTTTAAACTTTATGATCCAATTAATGGATTCTTCCATGGTATTTGTAACACTCTGAATAATTGCTTTTATTTGATACCTCATCAATTCAGTCAGAAGGTTAAAAGTGCTTTTTCTTCTGGTTCAGTTTAAACTGCGCTGTAAAATGTTTCGTTGATTTTGATACTTTTTAAAATCTTGTTGGGTTTAGTTATGCTTTTCTTTTAATTCAGTTCCAAAAAAACAAACAAACAAACAACAACAACAACAGCAAAACAAAAACGTGCCAATAAATAAACGTGCCCAGTCAACACGAAAGTAAAAAGCATCGGTGCTACTGTAGATGCAAGCAGACTGGCAGTAAACACAATGTTTGCAGGACTTCTACAACTAGGATGAAGTGACATACTTTAGGACCCGAGGTAAACAGTTCAGTGGCGCTACAACACGCAGCAGATCCCGTTTGACAAGAAACACTTCTGTTACAGACACTTGGCTTACATTGTTAAAGCAGTTTACCAGAAAGGTTACAGGGTCTGTAAGATCCCAAAGCCTCCCCAATTGTTAATGCTTTATTGATGTTGACCCGGCTTTTTAGCTCTCGTCCGGTCTACCTCCTTTTTAAGCGCCCATTATTCCGCCAGAGTCTCTGGTATTTACTTTGTTTTCTTGCTTGTGTCGGCAGTCATGGCCAAAGGAGGATTTAGACAATTTTACGTACTCTCTGGTTAGTTTCTACTGTCTGATATTGTAGCACGCTAGCTTTGTTTGGGCTCCTGCATGTAATTCAAGGATGTGGAGCGTGCCTCACAACATGAGGGAGCAGCATCTGCCTCACAACCAATCAGGCTGGGGGAGGAGGAGAACGGCTTTGTTGACAGTCAGAAAGAGCAGGCTGCTCCAAAATTTTAAAATGTTGACTACACAGACATAACAGAACAAAGAGATATTGTGACATTCCCAACTGTCATCAATAACTAAAAGCTATTGACTGACATTAAAAGCTTTTTTGTATATACACCACAAAAAAAGATGTTTTTTTTAATGGAATCCTGCCTACCCCACCTTTAAATGTTCACAAAGAAAGCATAAAAATGTGTGTGATTGACTGAGTCTGTTGAGAAGTTGAGGGAAAAGTTGAATTTTTGATGTTGTAGATAGCAGAGGATCAGATTGGTATCTTGCCTCGTGTAGATAAAGATTAGTTTGTAGCGCTGCTCATGAGGATTGGATCTTCTGCATTAGTGCATGTATTATCAAAAAGCACATTGCGTTATATTGCCATTCTCACTGTCTGAACACAGCCCTGTTTCATCTTGAAGCCAGTAAATCATGAGAAGCAGAGTGTTTTTCTGCTAAATGAAGGATTATTGACATAATCCTTTTCAATCAACTCAAACACAGTCTGTGGAGACTGTTCCATCTGGTTTGGCAGAACAGTCTCTTCTTCTGCCGTAACTAAAGCCAGCATTTGAAGAATTGTTGAACATGAACTTCTGTAAGAAGTTGTGGACTGTAAGTTGGAAGAAATGGAGATGATGTGTTGTTTAATGGTTCTATAATAAAGACAACTATTGAGCCTCTTGCCCCATTGCAAACTAAAGTATTGATCCATTTCCTTGGGTTCAAATCCATTGTATTCAGCTTAATATTGGCTCTGTGTTTCAGCCCTTTGTGTTTGTATTACTATTTGTGGTCATCACACAGATCTGCTCTACATCTTAGTGACAAATGAGAACAATGACTGTTTGCTTACAATGCTCACAAGAACGAGAGAGCTGCTGTATCCAATATTAATGTTTGCTTTGTTGCTCTCAAACCCAGTAAGAAGCAGAGGGAGCTGCACAAAACAAAGGAGAAGTGATTGGAAATAGAAATGTAGAAATGCTCTAAAACTGGCATCAAATCTCTTTTCTGTTAGAGGTGTAGACAGGGACATAAACCTGCAGAGTCACGCTCTACATCTTTTCTTTAGTCTTAACAGTCATTTGCCTTTTAAAGACTTACTTTCAGGCCAAGTTTTAAAGATAAATGGATCCCAGTGGACCACCAGAAAATAAAAAGTATGTGGTCTTGTTTGGGATTAGATTACTTCTTTGGCTGTTTATAAAACTACATTTTGAGGCACAATTTAGGGATGATAGAAGGGCGTATTGTTTCCTTTGATGGGGCCAAAGAAATTAAAACGGGGCAGTATTACTCCTCAGAGAAGTCCTTATCTTGTCAGCTGAGGACGGAAGTTTCAGAGGGAATGAGAGGTAAAGTAAGGTGTGATATTGGACACACTGAGCACAAGTTTTAAAAAGAAGACTGAAAACAAATCGAGTTTTCTCTGTTACAGACAAGAACACCATGAACAGCATAAGTGAAGGTCGCCAATTCAGACACCTGAATACAGACTGAAAACTATTAGCTCTGCTGATTCAGCCTTTGTCTGATTGTATGGCAGTCTGAGCTGAATTTTAAAGCACAGTCTCTTTTGGTTGGCTGCAACCAGATGTTTTTAAAGTCCCACTCTGATCATTTATTCACTATTTAAAGTATGGTTGAGAACTTTTGAGAACTTTTCACCAAAAATTAGGTTACCTGTGTCATTTCAAGAAGTTTTCTTCTGCAGAACTCCAGAAGCTCATTAGCTATTCACCTCTGATTTGTGGGCAGAGACAGCGCTGCTCTGCACACTCATCTTCACGCTAGCTTGCAGCCTAACATTGTTGGTGTAGTAGAAGTGGAAGGTAACATAGGAGCTATTCAGCTCTCGGACACTAATGTCTTTGGGGACATGATGAAAGCTAATATCATAATTAGCTTTGCAGTCCGCTAACACACACACTTGTTCTGCGACTGTCCTCTATACTTCTCCGAGTCTGGCTTGCATAGTGGAGCTCTGGGGGCGGAGTGACGTATGAAATCTCACTGTGCCTGAACCTGCTGTTTGGATCTGCCAGAGATTCACAGAGATTTGAATGCAGAAATACTCAGAAATGCAATTTTGCACTTAGTTTTCTCATAATATATCCTGAGCATCAAATAAAATACCATATGAATATGTAGACAACAAGAAAAACATGATTTTCATTGGAGTGGGTCTTTGAGGTACTGGGTTGATACACACTAAATTAAAGGGTCTATTTTCCCTTTCCTGACTGTTAAAGGAGGTGGTTCAATAAAAGATGCAAAAGGAAAAGCAAAGACTTTTTTGGAAACCAAGCAACATTCAACATGGCAATGTCTGTTTACTATGTGTTAAACATCTCAAATGTAAATGTAAATGGTCTATTTTGGTGCTGAAGATACATTGAGTAGCATATCTTTAGAAAACCTCTGTATGCCTGATCAGATCAGGCTGCAGAAACTGTCCCTCTCTTGAGCGAGTGTCCCCTTGTGTCCACTTTAAACACCACTGTCGTAACTCAAGTGCTGCACTTGTCAGCATTGTCATCACCAGCGCATGATTTATTCATGGTGACACTTTGCATGTCTGAAAGGCAGTCTACTCAAGAAAAGCACATGCTGACAAAGAAAATAAATATTCAATTCCAGAATAATTAAATAACTGACATCCCTTTGTTTCCAGTAGAGGCATGAGTTGAAAGTTTCTTCACAACAGGAAATTATGCTGATTCTCCAAGCAATGATACAATATTGGAAGAAATTAAAGAGCCTGCTGTGATACAATGCTGTTTATATTTTATTTGAGCAGATTGATTTAGCTGCCTATATTGATCTCAAATAACACCCTCTCTCCCTTAGCCTTGGTAAACAACATCGAGAATGTGTAATATAACTCTTGGTTACTTGGAGAGCATAAACCTTTGGTTCAGTTTGAAATACAAACTACACGATTTGAGCTTTGGCAATGTTAGAGGACTGATTAAGTAAGAAGAAAATGTTCGTAGAAAACTTACCAGGAAGGAGATCTCACACAGGTGCCGCTGTTATAAAACATTCTCTGCATTTGTCAAGATTTCCAGTGGAAAAGTCAATGTTTTGACAGGAAGAGCCACCAAATTTGGTACACATAGGTCCAGTGGAGAGATAAGAAGGTTCTGAAATTTCACAGGACTGATGTATCACGTCTAGACATACAAAAAAGCCTTTTAGACCTATATTGTAAAAACCAACCGGAAGTACACATTTTTGCGTACAAACAGGCTGAATACTGGCCATTTCTAGGGGTCCTTCTTAGACAAAACCCTCCTCAGATCGCAGCTACTCCAAATTTCCTTGAATTTTAGGAGACACCTTAAGGCAAAAAAGTTCCTAAAAAAACTCAAGAGGTGTGGCCATGGCAGCTCATAAAAGTTTGATCGATGAAAATAGTAATTTAACATTTAAAGTATCAAAACCTCAGAGTGGAAAAGGTTCAAATGTCGCCTGCAGCTCATATTTCAAATTACCTGTAGAAAGTTGGTACACTGTTTACTTTGAAGACACAGTTTTAGAGCTGAAATGTACTTGAAGAAAGCAAACACACCATAAACCAATGCATACCTTCTTTATTTCATTTTTCTGAAAGTCATGCCATTACAACACAACCACGATAGTCAGTGCTAACATTTCATTGTCAGCTGTGTGCCCATCAAATTCCGTCTCTGCATGGAAAACTGTGATATGGTACAGTATAATTCACTTTAACACCTCTTTACATTAGCATGGTTGATTTGACTTTTCCTAACTTGCAAAATAAACCCTAAATTGATATACCCATTGAACCAAGAGAGGCCTATGCGTCCAGAACCGAGACCAGGCATGGAGAAAGAAGACATGGATCAAAAAGATAAACCAAAGAGAGAAATATTCAGGCACTTAGAAATACTCTCAAGTCCTTGGCTACACTGTGCTTCATTACATTGTACATGCATGTTAAACCCTATCCTGGTCCTGTGGTGAGGGGTATGAGGTTTCCTGTACAAGGCAAGGCTAAGGGATGAAGCACATTCAATAACTAATTAAAGGGATTTCAAGTATTTCACAAAACATCTACGTTCCTATTTACAAGATTTCCTAATTTTCTCTACCTATGTTTTCTCATTGCATATCCCCTAAGACATAATTTAACAACCAGTATTTTACAGTTTCATGACAAACAATCAAACATGAGACTTCACCAGATATCAGCAACACTCAGTATCCAACATATCACCAGTAATGTGCAGTATTTCTTCAGGTTATTATTTAAAGAGGGTTGTAATTGTCAAAATTAGCCTTTTTATGAAAATCTAATTTCCTGTACCTCTTAATCTCAATCTTGTCTGTCGTGTGGCGTTCACTGGCCCTCTCTGGTCTTGTGATTGAAAGAGCTCCTGCAGCTCTGGTGTCAGAAAAGCCATTTGAGAAAACGACGGCATCAATTTTCTCTGTGCCTGCTGCGGGCAACGTTGCTGTACACAGTGATATTAAAGGGAAATGATGCATGGACTGGCAGCTCAGCTCAAACAGGAGTGTTTGTGTTGATTTGTCGTGTCACGCTGAGATGACGGTATAGTCCACCATCCCTGTGTTTGAAAAATCTGTCCTCCTGATAAAAGAGCTTGATGTGAGTTAAGCAGAGTGAAGGCAAAATGGACAAATTACAGGAAACAGCACTGACTCTGAAGATCTGCATCAACAACAAAACAACAGTGTTAAAAATCTACTGGAGCCGACATCAAGTCTGCGTGTTCTCCTCCCAAAGACAGATATACAAAGACTGACTCTAAAGACCACAAACTAAAGACAACATTTCACCTCACAAACCATAAGACCAAATGGACAACACAGCGACACTCTGAGCTGTAAGACCTCAGACTCCAAGACTTTAAAGGTCCCATATAATGAAAACATGTCCTTCCTTTACTGTAAACGTATGCTCAGTCATCCTCCAGCCTGGTAGCCCTGAGGCCTCGTTTGAACAAGACTGGCTCCAACAGCACCACAGAAGTCTTTCCTCTGCATTTTTTTTAAATCTGCGATCATATGACATAGTTGTGAGAACAATTCATGCACATGAGTCTGCAAAAACTTCTGCAAACACTGTAATATGCATGCCAGACTACTAGCTGGCAGTATAACTAAGTCATGAAACATCACTGGAGAACATCAAGTGCCTGTCCCAGGCCTTCACAGCCGAGGTTACAAGAAGACATTAATAACCCTCTGCAAAATTACACTGTTGAGGAAACATCAAAAACACAGCTTGGTACTTGGCCATTGTTGATATTATCCTTCTCTCTTCGTACTTGACTATTTGTTTGGGAATTTCAAATGTGCAAATTAGACAGTGATATCACCATTTTCAGAAAATCCCCCTGTGTTATTATTTTACACAGTAATAGACCCCTAAAAGATCCCCCTCTGTAAGTTATCATTTTCTGTGTTCATGAATGGCCACAGAAAATAGTTGGCCGTTATATTGAATGTTTCCATGTTTGCACCTGAGGATGTAGAGGCAAAAAATGGTCTGTGCTATGTTTCTGTTGCCCACCTACTGGAAAATTATAGTTTTTCTGATACAGTTTGCTCATGTGGTGATGCAACAGCTGGACTGATCTGCATTGGCATACATCCAAAACCACTCCCACTCCTCAGGTGATTTCCTCCTACACCAGTGGTGTTTTTGTTTTGTTGTTGCAGATCCAAGACGTCAAAGGTTGAAGCCACACACAACAACTGCTTGGTTGTTGGTAGAAGAAGCCAATGGAAATGCTGGCATTCTGTCCTAGCACCCAATGCTGTTCTGTGACAGCTTCAACAATGAGGTGAAGTACAAAGCTGAGTTTGCTTTGACACTGACCCTTGTAAAAAGATCTTTGCTAACTAGGGTTGCAAACTTCTGGGAATTTTCAAAGTTGGAAACTTTCCATGGGAATTAACGAGAATAAATCTGAAATTTTCAAAACTGAAGGTTGGCCCCCAACAGGGAACTTAAATATAGTTAGGGAAAATATACTGTAGTGTAATATTGACTAAAACAACCAGATTTAATGCAAGTACACTCCTCAATCACAAAGACATTTGAGCCCACAGACTATATAAAGTCAAGTAAGTTTTGATAGTATTATGGGGTAAATATATTTGATCTATAATAGTATTAATATTTAACTTGCAAAAGGTTGCTAAATGTTAGCTATTTTTCATTTCATTAACTTTTTAAGGGGCTCGCTTATTAGGGTGGTGGTAGCTACCTCAAATGTGATGCTGTTTCTTCTGACTCCTGCAAACGGTTTTCTGTAACCATACAATAATTTATACATCAATTGTCCAATATTTTGAAGACCATTCCAGTTGTTGAGCCAACTACATTTCTGTTCATGCCATTGCATTAGTGTTTTTACAAGCTTTTTTTGTATCTTATGCTACAGTTTTCAATTTGGAATATTTCCAAAATTCCCCAGCTTAATTTACCATGGAAAGTTTCTGGAAATTTACCAGAAATTTTCCACCCCTTTGCAACTCTATTGCCAACAAACCTAGACCTGCCTTTTTTCAGTGTGTCCACTGATTGTACTAACAATTTATGACTAAAAGTTTGTAAGTACCGGCACAAGTTCTTCTGAAGCGCTCAGCGTGTTTGTTTTGGTGTTTTTCTGCCATTGCATCTATGCCCCCTCAGAGAACATTTAGGCAACCAAACAGTTCAGCACCTCTTTATCACAGCAACCCTGCCCACTCAGATCATCGCATGGATAGAGTAGTTTGAAACTGAAAGGCTGTGGATCCTCCAGAGAGGCTGAATTGAGTATTTTTTTGTAAAGCTTTGCTTAATGAGTGATTAAGATACTTTAATACACTTAGTGACAACAGATCTTGGACATTAACAATCATAGTTCCAAGTCTGCTAAATGATCATTTCCAGAGTGCTCATGAACATCTTGCAGCATCTGTCTGCAGAGAGAGTTAACTCTGTAGTTATCACCAGGAAAACTGTATGGATGCTTACATGGAGCGTAGACTGGGATTGACCATGGGGATCATTAAAAGCATTGCAGTGTGGCCTGGAACATCCAGCCTTAATGCAGGATCAATCAGGATGAGTTGGATCTAGATTTGGTCCATTTTTCTCTATCCAGGATCAGGTAATATGGATCACCAGATCGGATCTGCTTCCTGATAAATTACACTCATTTACCATGTTTGTAGAATAAGGGAAGAAGAACTTCATTGATCCCCAGAGGAAAATTCAATACATATTGGAGTTTCCTGATGTAGTTATCAAGTAAGAGTGAAGCTGTGGTTGAAAGAAGAAGAAACATGGGATTTGTGTTCACCTGAGAGAACAGAAAGAAGAAAAAAAAAGATATAAAATAAACTTTTTTGTGCAGTAAAACTCTGTGGTTTCCAGGAATGTATGACCCACCAAATGTACCGTTGTGGTACCGATAAAAGGCTTCCTTAGTTTTTGACTTTTTTTTAAATTCAGCATCATTCAAGCAGTGTGTATCCCATCCTGTTTCATTTAATTGTCCACATTGCCTCTGCACACAGCTTAGCTACAAAATACACCCCTGACGCAATAAATCAGTGACCCCCGAGGCATCACTTTGGCTCAATCCCTCCACCTTGGGAATATTCAGGAGCTAGTTAAAGTGGGGTAAAAATTGTTCTAGCTTTGAAAGTCAGAATTTTTTGTCAAAATTATCCCTAACAACAGTGCATCCTTAACTTGTTCTCAGCAGAAATGGGCTGCTACAGAATTGAGTTCTCCATAACTGAACCTAAAAACATCCTAAGAAAAGCTGAATCACCCTTCACCACCAAATGAGGCAACAGCAGCTCAAGGCAACCAGAGGGACTCTTCTTTATCCCTTATGTCTCCAAACCTCATCTCCAAGGCTACAATGACCCCCATCGGTCATTAAGTCTCCTTAAAGAAGCCATGGGTTCATAAATGCTGATAGTTTTGCAAATTTTGCAGATGTAAACTTTGTCTTTAACAATAAATTTGAAGGGGAATGAGAGATGCAGTTGATTTGGCAAGTACTGTATATGCCGTACTCTGTGCATTTTATCATAGGCTTTGAGATATCAAAATGAGGGCTCTGGGAAATAGGGTCTTAGAAATATATCCTTCATAAGATATTCCAAATTTGATCTAAAAAAAGCCGTTATCATGTCAATATTTAAACCTGAGTTTCAATTTTAAAGAGTCCCTATGCAATTTTTGTAGAAAAAAGGTTGGTGTTAGACTCTTGTCTCCTTTTTCTTCTCCGCTCAGACTGGCTACGAATAAACCCTGGTTAGGAACAAGGACAAAATTCAAAAAGTACAAAGACATCTCTGCAGGTTTGATGCTCACATCAGCTAAAAGTTTTTTTTTAAATAGTAAAGGCTATAAATACGGGTCCTGTTACGTACACGTTTTGGTGTTCATTGGGTTATTTTGGGATAGTCACATTAAGGACAGCTGTCAGACTACAGTGCTGATGTCGTCAGCCTCGTCCGGTTTCTTGGGTTTGCTCGGGAGAGACTTGAGGTACTCCAGGTGGCGCCGAGCATCCTCCTGATTCTGACGGACATAATACACCACGTATGAAATGACCATGGCGAACCAACCGAACATGGTCACCAGCATGGCGTAGTCTGTGGTCCTTTTGGCCAGATTACAAAGGTCAGTGTCCACAGCCAAGAAAGGTCGTCCCTCCTGGTTTTGAAGCTCCGAGCTCCTGCACAGGACCCGTGCCGCCGCCTCATGGTTATGCGCCATTCCACCGATCGCCTGCTGCAGAGCACAGTCACAATGCCAGGGGTTATCATCCACAATGATGCGAGCTTTAAGCCGAGCGAAGGCATCCTTGTGTACGCTAGTGATGCGGTTGTGGGAGAGGTCCAGCACCTGTAAGGTCGCCTCGATGCCACTGAAGGCGCCCTCCCCTAAAGTCTCCACTGCATTGTAAGAAAGGTTGAGCTCCCTCAAAAGCCTGAGTCCATGGAAGGCTTGATCGGGCACGGTGCCTATCTGGTTGTGGTCCAGTCTCAGCAGGACAGTGTCCACCGGGAGGCTGGGGGGGATCTCTTTGAGGCGGGACTGACTGCAGGAAACATTCAGGCCATGGAGGTGGGGGTCGCGGCGGCAGATGCAGCCCTTTGGACACATGCTGGCCGAGGGAAAGCACAGGGCCATAAGGACAAGGCTCTGAAGGAGCAGGCACATGGGGATGGAGCGCGACAGCCACAAGTCCAGCAGAGTCATACTGACCAGCTGTCAGCAGCATCCCGCCTGGGGCCACTGCACCCCCACTGGTCCCTTACTCACATCCCATGGTAGTGACCTTTCCTCACTGTCTTCCCACTGGAGATAATGGAGTGGGAACAGATGTTACCATGCTTCCTTGAAGCCTGAAAGAAACACAAACAGGAGGACAGGATGAGCAAACGTTCATGTTCGAACTGTCATGACTTGTTCAAATCCAAAATCAAAACCAACCAGCACATTTGGCCAGCTTCAGTAGCTTTAGATCCAGCAGAGAGCGCTCTTGGTGTAACCTGACCATTGATCTCAGGAGATCACCAGGTTACTTAAGGAGGGGATGGATTTTAAATTTGAAAAGGTTCAAGGCTGAAATAATTATTTTCCAGCTTGTACCCCAAAGTCAAATGTTGAAGCGCTGTCACAGATCATTTCCAGGCTCTCAGTGTGGGGCCTAATGAAGGTGGACAGGTGACCTACGCTGTTCCAGATTTGTACAGGTCTCCGTTTAGATGGGTGCACCATCTTTCAGGATAAGTCAAATGGATGTGGCTGAGAGGTCTAAACCACCTCAGATGACTTCTGCTGAAGGACCTGTACTCACTCTCTCTCATTCAGTCTGCTGATCATCTGTGAAGGAGCTTAATGACTCCTCTCTAAATATCAGCCCCTTAAACTCCTGACTAAAACATACAATCTAAAACTTAATTAAGCATCATAAACAGTACTTTTACAGCACTCTCTTAGCCTGTGTTAAACCTGCATTAACAGAAATGTAGGGATGTTAAACAGCTGAATAGCTCCACATGAAGCAGTTGTTACTCTGAGAACGGCTTTTTCCGCTTGAGTTTTATTGGAGCACAAGTAGAGTTCCTTGTCACAAAATAAGTGACATCCAGCAGCGACATCAGTGAATGAGTGCGCCTGCAGAAACCTCTGAAAATTCATATTGCAGTGCTTGAGTTAACAACACAGTGTGCAGGAATGAAGGGCACAGACATTTAAAAATAGATCAGGTATTTGAATTCATTTCTCTCCCTTGAAGCCTCCTGCAGCAGGTGATACCCTAGGTGACCGTCTGACTGGTCTATTCTCAAAATGTCTCAGTCCATTATTTATTTAAGCATTCTGCATACCGAGTACACAGGACTTTCAACTGTCACCTATGACAAGCTCAGAGGAACTGTTATATTTCCATCACACCTACAGATAGTCATTTCACAATGTATGGCTAATGCATGAACTTAATAACGATTCATAAATGCTGGTTCACAATAGCTGATTCACCTCTTACTTCACCTCTTGGGCTGTTTAAGTGATTCACAGTCAAACCGCACATTACAAGACAGCACAGAGACAGCACATTAAATGCATTAATGGCATCGGGTTAAAGAAAAACAGAGTTTGCATTCACAGTCCAATACTATGACAAAGAAAATGCATTTACTCATGAAAAAGCACAGATTAAAAAAAACAAACTACATAAAAAAGCAACAGATTTGCAAGATGCAGATTAAAATAACATCAAATTGGAGGCCTATGCAACATGTATGTGCAAATAATACTCATAGTCCATAGGGTTTCTCAGTGAGCGCCCACATAAAGATTACATCATGTTGTGCCTCGCTTTGAACTGTCAAGTTAAAACCATGTTTGCAATTACCATCTGAAATTATAACTTTTAAAGCAAAATCAGTGATTGGTGTCTGATCACAGTTTATGCAAAGCTGCTGTAAACACGTGAAAGACTGAGATTTATCCATCTACAGGTGACACATATTTAGTCCAATCTTTCTGTTGTTTTTTCTACTTCTCTCTATTTCTCTTTGTGCACCCGAATCGCTGATCAGCCCCTGTTTTTAATGCGTTTAAGATTGTTGTGTAAAATATTTAATACAGACCCTGAATAGGTGCAGCAAACAGCCTGTCAAGTCAAATATATTCACTTATATCGTTGGCTGTAATGTTCAATTAGAGTTAAGCACACCTCTTTGGCCTTTCCAGTGTAGAAGTGATCTTAAGGATGTCTACAATGCCAATAAATGTTTAAAATAGATCGTTTATGACCTCAATTTTGATAGAACTCATTAAGAAAGACAACAGAAGCTTGTGCAGCCAACACACACCTGGCATGAAGATGCTGGCTGGCTGGAGAGGATTTGGAACAAGTTATAAGCTGCCGTTGTACATGCAGACTTCAAAATTGATCTTCAGATTAATATTTCATCTTTATAATCTGCAGGGCAGAAACAGATTTTTCTGAGACCTTGAGGAGGATAGCTCTGCTATGTCTCCACAGCTGAACCACATTCCTGGAAATACACTGACTCTGAAAGGTGGTCTACCACTCATACATCTCTCTGTCCAGACGCAGAGCAGAATAATATGTCTCACAGCGGCATATGATGAAGTGCAGAAGTGAGGGATCATCTGTTTTCCTACATCAAGCTGTTTATCCAGCTGCTGCTGGGCCACAAGAGGAAAAACCTGTTGTTGTACGAAATCAGGCTTTGTGCTGAATCGATCTCACCTGCTCTGTATTTACAGAAAGGCCTAATCTTTTGACATAACACCACATTATTACTAATGATTGAGGCCACCTCATATTTCACCTGTGAGACCGGGTTTATTCATCAAGAAGAGAGAAACAGCACAATAGGAATACTAAAGCTGAAAGTTGATCCAGGTGTGGAAAACATGCAGAAATATCTTCTATAATGTCTGACAATACTATTCAAATAATTACAGAGTCATTATACTTGCTTTTTTTATTTTCACTGATGCAAGAGATTGTTTTCTGCTCAGTTATGTAATTTAATGACTGACTTTGGGTCAGCTTGTAATGCTCATTTTAGCCTGCTGATGTTCAGGTTTTAAATACTTAATGTGTTGTAGTTAATGGTTTGGAGGAAACACAACAACTTACAGGCAACTGATGATCAGACATAACGCAGAGTAAGATCCACCTCTGCAGGTGCATCTCAGTAAATGTCATTATTTGATGAAAAAGGTAGATTTTCAGTCATTCTTACATCTGTGGCAAGTACAGTGGAATTCTAAAGTCTTTTTTTGTTTATCCAATAAAAGTTAGGAATCCAGGTACACCTCACATGATTAGGATTTTCCCTAAAACCAAAGGGTTAAATGAAGAAATGTACAATTTCTTATGATTTAATCATTTTATTATTATTCATATCATCAGTACTTGGGTGGGGCCCCTTTTCCATGAATCCCTGCATCAATGTTGTGTGGAGGCGGTGAGCCTTCAGCGGTATTATTAGAGGCGTTATTGACAGCACCATAGAGGACATAGTCAGCCAATTGGGCAAAGCACTGTTATATTATGGTCAGCAAACCATGTGGTAGCAGTTCTGACGCTGTGGGTAGATGTTAGGTCTTGCTGGAAAAGGAAACCAGTTCTCTATGAAGCTTGTCTGCAGATGGAAGTATGGGGATTTGAAACTGTGTTGACTCTGGACTTGATAAAACCATAGACTGTATATAGAATGGACAGAGTCTGCCTCCTTGCTGGGTGAAGCCACTCTGAGAACAGTGCCCTCTGTTGACGGCTGCAGTACAGATCATAAATCCCGCCTCCGCCAGCAAAGCTTATAGGGCTGTGGACAAACTTTAGAAATTTATTACACAGTACATACATTTTTCTCCCCCCTGCTTGTGATGTTGACATGTAGTTATTGTAAGACTGGTTTGTGCTCAAGTCCTCTTTTTTTCTGTGAAGCTCAGTTTTTAAAAGTTATTAGGGGGTTCATGTTTGCTATGATTGACACCTGATACAGCCTATTGGCGTTCAGGGATTGCGTAGCTCTCCCGGGGGATACGCTGTTTGAGCCAAGCGTCATCACAGCGACTCTTGGCAACTGCGTGCCTGAATGTGCGCATCGCTACTGCGCAGCGCTGGTTTCAGAGATGAAGAAAAATCTCAGAAATATCGAGAGCTATTTGGCTTCAAATCCGTATACAGGCAGGAGGCGGAACCAAGTTGTCCATAGTATATACAGTCTATGGATAAACTCAGTAGACTATGTTTTGAGCTGTAGATCATGATAGTCAAAATTGGAATTGAAAAGTTGCTTTTTGATAGTTTGCATGTAAAATGTTCACTTTCTTAAAAAAAAAACTGACAGAAATATTTCTACATTTTACAGAATATTCTCATTTATTGAGATGTAGCTTCAATTCATTCATCTGCAGGATTTTAAGTTTAAAGCTTTTACACTGGCTCAGTTGACCTGCTGCTGTCTATGATGTTTAAGCCTCTTTTATTCATGCTAAGGTCACCACTGATGTACAGACTGTCAGTGAGATTAATTCAGAAGTTATTGAGACATCCAGTCTGGACTTAAGTGATGGACTGACAAAACATTTCCATCCCCAGAGCCACACAAGCCGGCAAGACCAGAAAAAAATGAGCTGTCAGCCTGACTCTGAGGCCGTTAGCTGGAGGGGCTTTCAGAGTACGAGTATATGTCACTGTGACGTCTCATTTCTGCTCACAGTAAGAAGACGGACCAACCATGATGTCTCAACCATTCGTCATTTTAGGTTTCATTATGCTAACATGTTAAAAGAAGGAAAAGATATGTTTTCAGGGTGAGTCTGATGATAATAAATAGTCCTTACTTTAAATATCTTCCCAGGAAAGATCCAAAACTAGCAAACGTACCTGCTTCCTGGTATAATTTATCAAATCCAGTCTTGTACAGCTTCCTCCTCTGTGCAGTCAAGCTCTGCTGTGTTCTTAAAACTATCACACACCTTCATGAGACTCACTTTTGCAGTGTGACACCTTTTTCATCACCATGAACACACGCTCTGAAGCTTTTTTCCACTCAATCCTACGCACGTCATCCTGCAGCAACAGACGCTCACTAGAGAACAAAGTGAGATCAACTCGATCGAGCTGTGGAAACAATTCCCAACAGCTGCACCACATCCCTTTTTTTTAATCACTAAAACTTGATCAGAAAAACTACAAAGACCAGACATACAAACATGCATGTGAGTTCGTGAATGATCTGAATGAGATGACACCATCGGAGAAGATAAAATAGGCCATGTTCAAGGTCTTAATTGATCATTTGTGGGAATTTAGCTCAACAAAAAATAATAATTTATTCAAGTCCAACCTGCTAACTTCAGAGCTCAGGTAACTCGTTGATTCATCCAACTTAAGACCACAGCACCACGTTAAGTGGATCCTGATTATTCCCATGTATCTTAAACTGTATACAGCCTTTGTAGATTCATGCAACAGTTTAACAAGTTTAATTTGAAACAGAAATAACTGATTAACTCTTATCGAAGTTTGTGTCTTTGTTAAGCGCTTAACAGTTAACAGAGTTCAACTGGTTTCTCATCCTGCTAACTCTCAGGCCTTCATTTCATCCAAACATGCAAACTCTTGGAAATAACAGGTCTTTACTTTTTGTTACTTCAATGTATGGTGAACATCTATTTAAAAAAAACCTGCAGAAGAATTTTTTTTCTTTGTATCCTGCAGCCTTAATCCACAATACTGCACTTGTGTCTGCAGATTGTTATATCTCTAGGGCTGGCCTGGTTTCTAATGTTTGGCACTAATGCTGAAAATGTGACCTTTGCTTGCTGTTTGACTTCCTTTGAAGATGCAAAAAAGAAAAATCCTCCCTCTGATTTAGACTTCTCATACCTTGCAGACTTTCTGCTTCCTCTCTGCCTTTCTTCAAATGTGAAAATTTCCCCTCCTCCTTCCTTTCTTCTTCGGTCCCTAAAGCCTGGCCCTTAAACTCCTCCATACAGGAGTGCTGCAGCAGGGTAATCGTGAAATCCCAGCTTGGTATGAAGGAGTCTGACCTCCACACTGTGTCCCCTTTCTGCATTTGATATTAAACATTAAAGGAAGCTGAGCCATACCTGCTAAAGAGTTTTCTCAATTTGAGGGAGAGTGAGCGCTTTATTCTTTTTTTTTTTGTCCTCCCTGGGAGACACAAATTTTCATCACCTCCTGAACTACAGTCTCACGTCTTTGACCGCTCTGCCTTTAAACGGAACCACATTTGGGCATCTAAAATCCTCCATGCAGCACGTGTTCAAGCTTGAATAAAAGGTTATAGTGGATTCCTTACACACTGGGATTTGTATAATACTCTGTTTTTTTTAGGTGGGATGAAAATGGTGTTCCTACACAGAATTTCAAGCAGTGTTCACAGCTGAGAAATCTCCAGCGTCAGGTCAGAGGTTCTCCAACAACGCCTTCTCAAGAGTTCAATTTTTCTCTTCCAGTATTTGAAGGATTGTCTTTCCTGGTTACAAAACCAGCCGCTGGAATTCATTGATTATGTTCCAGTCAATTAAGATGCCTAATGAATCAAAGCTGCATGAGAAGAAGAAAGAAATACCTCAATCTCAGAGACAGAATAATCCTGCTGAGGGTAATTACAGAAGCAACAGAGTAACAGCAGAGCTGATCTTACACAGTTCAAGATTTTAACCACTGATTTAAACTGAGGCTGTCAATCCCACATGAATTTCATCCCTTATTATTTGTATTTTCTTTCCTATTTCAGTCAAATATAACTACCTGGGATATACATTCAGAATAAAAGCATAGAGGGCTGACACTAAAAGGGCATTAGGGTTTTTTTTTTGAAAATTATACAGGAAGTGTTACGGTATTTCATGTTTAATGTAGGGCTGTGGAGACATACCAGTTTTAAAACGATAAAATGTTGATACTGTGCTCAAAATGAGCATATTACTACTTAGTAATAACAGTGGTCCTTTATGGAAAATAGACGAAGAAGTAGTCACAGACTGATAATCAGCTAGCTGTAGCATCCCTCTGAGAGATGACTCAACACTTTTAGAAATGCACAGAATGTCGAAGAATGTTTTTGAACTGCAAACAGGTATACAAGTACACCACGAAGGACTCTGGTGGTCTGTTGCAATGACAACTGAACGTGCAGAGAGGTTCAAAGAGTGGCTAGTCCAAAGAAAAACTGCAGAACCTTTGAGTGTCTGCAGCTGGAAACAACTCCAGAGAGAGAATAAAAGCTAATTTGCTAACCAACAAACATGACATACAATGTCGTTGCGAGGTGTTTGAAGGTGGGTCAATAAAAATGAGAACAAGGCCAAGTGAAAGAGGTACTGACAAGAACTTGAATCATTAAGGAGCCTGGATAATGGGATCAGAACTGATAAAAATGAATGCTCTCCATCCCTAATTTGTGTTTTCAGCAGTGTTAGTCACAAATGTTGTTCATATGAGGTAAGGCTTTCAATATATCAAATTTTCACCTCAGGATCATATTTAATGAGGGTCTAATTCACTCACAGGAATCACTGTTGATTTTTATCACTGTGTAATAACTGACTGTCACAGCTCGTGTTTTTGATTCACATCTGAATCGCCTGTAATCAGACTGTTTACTGAGCAGCTCTAACCTCAGACCCCTCAATCTGCTGGGGAGAGACTCTCATTGTTCCCTCTCTCTGACCGATCTTTATTTTTTCCAGCAGAGTGATTAACAAGGTCAGACCAACAAAACCACTCAGAGAAGCTGCTTCACCTCAATGAGAGGTCAGATCAGCTCACCTGGGAAACACACAGTCGGTATATTTGAATCCACAGGAATCAAACTCTCTGAACTCTGTGATAAAAACAGTCTACCAAAGTGAGACAGCACTTTTTGGAGAATTTAGGATAAAGACTGAGCACGACCCGAACTAAAAAAAGATTTAAATGTCCATCAACCCAGTAATACAAAGTACCGAGGATTCAGTATTCACAAAACAAAACAAAAAAAAACAAAAAAAGAAAAAAAAACAAAGCATGGCAGTTTTTGTCGGGTTTTGCTAGATAATGCAAATTTTCTGATTAAAAAGTGTAATGAATTTCTCCACAACTGTACAGGCTATATTTATGGAGGTTATAAGATATGCTCTTAAATATTAATGACCCACAGTGGCTAACTGGGGAAACCGGGGCCAATGCCGGTCAGCTGGGCTGGTTGTAGGGTTGTAAGGTCAGGTTTGCAGTGACAGTGAGACAGGTAAGAAGACCACTCATACCTCAGTAATGTTTTTTTACTGGACAGTTTCCTCACTGCCAAGCGGTGGATTTGGTCTGGGCGATCCAGGAGCATGCGCTCACGGTTCTGCAATTGTGTTTGTTCCTCAACATCAATTCATCCCTTTGCTGGGTGCCAAGAGAGTCAGCAGCAGCAATGGGAATGCTGGCCTTTTTTTAAATTTATTTTTGGGCTCTTCTGGTCTTTTTTGACAGATAGAGGACCATGAATAGAGCAGGGGTAAGAGGAGAGAGCAGAAAGTAACATGCAGGAAAGGGGCCACAGGGTTGAATTGAACCCTAGCCACCTGCGTATGAGGTAAAAATTCTGGCTCTTTTGAGTGATCCAAATCATTTTCCCATACGGTCTAAGATCAGGAGACCATGCTGCATGGAAGGCTTATAAAAAGAGCAAAGCTGGAGCTGAAAAAGTTTGCTTTTTCAAATAGGAAAGCCTAAGATGCTCATGTGGCCAAATGCACTCAATGTAAACACAGGTGGAGGTCACAGAAATACGCTAGCAGTGCAAACTTGACCAGGTGTGTATGCCAGAACACAACATATAACCAGCAAACCACTGTCTGAGTTTATAAATGAGACAGTGATGGATATTACATAGTTGTCTGTTTCAACAAGAACCAACTATAAAACACTGTTGTCGACCCCTCAGCAGCTGCAGCCTCTCAGTTTGAGGCTGATGATGATGGTGAGAGTAAGGAAAACCCAGAGCTCCAGAAAAATAGACTTGAATAAAATGGATCTAACTGACTGATGACTCCAACATATAAAAAGTTTGCAAGAAGAGAATAACAAATCCCATTTTAACTCAAATGTTTGACTTATTTCCTGTTAATTTTGTAATTTTATTTCATAATAATGACTCAACATAGGATACAGCAGCTTTCACCAGATAACAGATACAGATTTAAACCTTCCTATGTTTGCAACATCAGATTGTTTTCTCTGACAAAGAGACACAAAATCAATCACCGCAGCTTTACATGAGCAGCACATCAGCAAAGAGGATTACAGAGTATAAACTGAGATCACTGAATACAATCGGGAAAATCTGCACTGACTGAAATTATAACGTGTCTTCTCTGAGATGTAATGTTTGAGGAGAAGCTCATCAGAGAAGCAGCAGGAGGTTGTTAGATCAACAGAGTCAGACAACAAATGATCTCTATATTTCAGTGAATGATGAGGCGATCCAGTCTGCATCGGCCTGAGGAAAATTCAATCAGAGGAAGGTGCTGCAAATTCAGAACAGATGTAATGTAATACAACCATGCAAAAGTCCAAAATAAGCAGAAACACACTCTGAAAATACAACAGAAACAACAAAGATACATCCAACAGGACGCAGGGGTTTAAAATCTTACAGATCATGGAGTATTTAACTGACCAAATTCAGCATAATTTACACATTTTACTAGAATCTGTCTCTGAATAATCGTATAGGTAAAATTAAGAAAATCTGTTAATTCAACAAACATTCAGGCACATTTATGAAAAATATTTCCTAATCAATTCAGCTGCAAACTGAAGCTATTCATAGTTCTAGATGCTAAATCGTATCGCCTCCAGTCCATTCATTCACACAGGTGTCCTGCACACTTAGAGATGTTGCAGAAGGCTTTTATTAATACCTATTTACCATTTGGTTAAAACATGTTTGTAGAGAGAAATGCGAAAGTGGCTCTAGTTCTAGCTTCTCCTGCAGATTTAAAATAACTTGCATGAAAATTTTTATGTTTTGTAACTTTTCAGGCAAAACTTGTTTTCATATCATGTTATTTTGGACGTAAAACTTATTGTTTCCTAAAGGGAAATTAATTTGGCTGGAAACTGCTGGCCTACTTGGGCATCAGCATTCAAAAGATTAACCATCCAACAGTTCTATGGGCACAAAAAGGAGTCTGCACACACTGGAACCCATGAAAAAATCAGATGCTGCAATCTGCAAGAAAACAAGTCATTTCTGAAACCTTTCTGGATCAGCTCATTTATTTTCTGTCTGCGAAAGCAATGAAACATAAATGAGAGCTTTTAACTGAGTTTGACAGTATGCAAATAAGACAGGACTCCATAACTGTAGCAAGGTTTCCTCGTCTGAAAAGAGTCTAAATCCAGCCTTGAAATACCCGGAAAAAGAATCAAAACATCACCTTGGCTGCACCTGAGCTCTGCAGGGACTCCAGCTGTTCCCCCATGTTTGGAAACCCCCTTCTGTCATAACACAGCTATTTAAATGCCGCATGCATTTGATGCATTCACAGCCCTGCTCTCATATGACAGACATGCCTGTGCAAACACAGCCGGCTGTTGTCTCTCTGACCTGCGCAAACAGCAGCAGATAACACAGTAATTTGCTTCACAAACAGACGTAATGTTATCAGCCTTTCCAGACCAATAAACCAACCGCTGCTTCAGCTGTGGCCCCGATACGCCTCAGATTTAAAAACGTCACGCGAAACACTATTCGGTAATTTGGAATTAAGATTTATTTTTGCAAAAGAAGAAGCCATTATTAGAGTTATTTTAATATTACACGCACATTCCTACTCTGCATAAACTGTTTCATATTTCGGCGTTAATCACATACACACTGCAGGATGTTTTTCATTAGTATTGCAACTTTTATTAATAGTTGGTATTGGTCGCTCCCGCCCTCTGTGGCGCTCACTGCTGGAAAAGACGGTGAGAAACTGCAGCTGAATAAGAATTAAGTTACGATTTTGCAGAAAAATTAAGACATGATGCAAGATTTTATTGCGCCGAATCAATCTGAAGCTAAGTGCATTTTTAATGCATGTTTTCTTGGCTGTACAACGTCGTGTAATTCGCGTTATGACCAAAGAAACATGAAATAGATGTTTTTCAAATGGCGTCTGGAGGGATGTTCCCCGTGAAAACATCACGCACCAGACTACCTGATCATCAAAGCTTTGTTTTGACTCATTTTAAAGAAAGCTACAATGCAAAATACAAAACAGAGCTTTACATTTTAAATCTTAAAATGTCTCCTTTAAATATCAGATGAACAGACAAAAATTCCCCCCTATGCAACAGTTCATGAAGGCACAAACCGCAGCAGACAGACAGCACAGACGGCACAGACAGGTAGAGGAGCAACAGGCGACATGAGAATCTCACCTGCACACACAGTCAGCTGCTGCTGAATGAAACGGGCTCATCACATGAAGGTGTTCACACCTGCTGAGAGGACTGCCTGCCTGCACGAGGACTCGCTCACTGGTGCACGAGGCGCAGTGTGAATTCGCATCTTTACCTTTCAGTATAAAACACTGCACAGGGGTGAATGGAGAGAAAGGGAGGGGTCTTAGTGTAAAGGCAGAGGGGGACAAAGACCACACTACTTCCTGTCTTTTCTATCAGAATAAAACCTGCAAATACTGAGTGATACATTTAATTTGTTGGATTTAAAAACTCATAAAACTAAAATCACTAGACTGTAATTCTACTAGGGTCTTTTATCGCTGAAAAAAAGGTCTGAAAAAACAAATTTTTAAGGCTTATAACATAGTTAGATCTCTTCATGGCTGTCACATGATTACTTTTTAAATCCTGATTGATCACAGTTAAATTCTCTCAAACTATGACCACATGAAGAAGAACACTTTTAACAAGAAAATTGAACTTATAATAATGTATTTTAGCTAAACCGTCATGTTGTGTTCCGGTCAAATTTTACCGATTTGAAAGTTTTATCCCTCAAAAATGTAGTTAATTTGATCAGACTGACCTGAAATTCAATGACTTGGTCCACAATGAGGATTTCAATACAAAAAATAAATTTTATTATTTTGAGATGGTCTTGTGGGTTTTATTCAACTTTTATACAATCTTGTTGTTAATGGTCAAAAATGACCGGTCATCAGAAATGAATGGGAGAGACAACAGAAGTGTAAAAAAAAAAAAAAACACACACACACACACACACTTGTGCAGGACAAAGATAGATCAGTCACAAAGTCAGGGTCAAAAGTTTGGAAATAAAAGAGATCAATCAGTGAATTATCAAACGTTTATGCATTTGATGTAGATTTGTTTGAGTTTCAGAATAGCAGGTTTACACAGGTGCAGAAGCTGCAAAGCTTTTCGCAGTTCACTCAGTTCACTGTGTGGCAGGACATGGCTGATATCATTTCTTCATGGAAATGGAATCAGACTGAGATGCTAAGGCTGAAGAACTACCGTGTCTGCAGAGCAAAATTATTCACATGATGATTATTACTTCAAGGAAATGATAAATTAATGGTCATAAATGTTCTTCCTTGAGCTGCGTCACCCCACTGCAGTCCGTAGTGGACTCGCCCGAGGTCTCCGTACAAACAAGCAGCTGCTGGAAGAGAGTGGGTGAGTTGTGTTTAGTCTCTTTGCTAAAGAAATCAGGCAAAGCTAAAAAGATGTTTGATGGCTAGTACTATGGCTGGGACCCTATATGTACTGTTGATGAAGTTAGGTGCTGTTCTGCTGCTCCTGAGACCGCTGTGTATTGCTATCGTACGGTTGTTACTAAAGTTGGTATAACTAGAGAAGCAAGCGGTCAGCAACATTAGTTTCTCGACGGAGTGTCTAACTTGGAGTTCTGGTGTGTTTGACCCTAACTTATTTATACCCTGGAATATCCCTTTAACAGTTTTCATTCATTCTATGATGCTTGAAAGACCCGAAAACACTCGATGATCCCAGGTAACATCACTGATGATGTGTCCAGGTTGCATCACTAGGTGATGTATGTCACAAGCAAACATAAACCCTCTACATGGTTTCAAAACAATAGTTGTTTTAACTCTGATCCAAAGTAGTCTGTGTTAAAAAAGTAGACAATCTTTCTTTTGATTATTTCTTACAATCAAAATAATCTGGAAATTATGTCTTTTACAACTCAAATTCAAGATGTAAAAGCTCGGCTCAATGAGGCCTACAGGCCATAAATAACAAATAGAACTTCAAAACTTGAAATGTTCACAACAACTTAAGTTAATAAAAATAAAACACACAACATGTAGTGATTATTTATGTATTAGTACAGTTTTTTTCATGCGTCTTATTGTTACGTTCATTTTTGAACTGGAACATAAAAATGTTTGCCATGAAACAAACACAACATGAGGGTTAAGTGATCATGTTTCAATACTACATGGGGCACATTCCTCAGCTCCAGTAGAGGGGGCTAACACACAAATACCAGCAGCTGTACATTTCTAAATAAGACTAAATTTAAATAGTATTAATATGACGGCTCATTAATATAGCTAATTACTGACAAATTATGGCTAAATAGAAACAAATGATGGCGCCTCATGTCCACTCCAGTCACTAACACAGAATTTGCATGAGATAACTTGTGCATAAATAGTATGATTTCTTCACAGCATGATGCCTTCCTCGTCAAAACAGAAAATGACTAATTCATGTGACTTAACATGCTCTATCACAGGTGTATCAGTGAAGCTAGCATTAACTAAAACATGCATGACCCGGTCTCATGCAGGACTTTTTCAAAATGGCTCCACCCTCTAAAATTTTCAAACACAGGTTCTACATAAGGTTTCTTCATTTCAGATGTATAGAATCTTTTGAGCATGCTTGTGTTGTGGGGAAAAGACCCAAACTCAAACTGGTAATCCTACAATTTGAAGTATCAAAAATGTGAATTTTGGCTGATTACAGTTGTCAGGCTTGGACTAACTCCCCCTGATTCATGCCCAAATTGATTGATTTAAAGGCATGAAAATCTTGGAACAAACTTAAAGGACATGACTGTGGCAAGCCGGCAAATGTGCTTGGTTCATCAGACGACAGAAAGCATTTAATAAATCTTTAATAAAAAGTGTTGGCTTCAACACACCTATAAGTTAATATGCCATCATGCATTGAGCTGCTTAAAGTAGCAGGGAATTATCTGCTTTTATTTTGAAAGCAGACTCACAGGGTTTCCTGTCATTTTTTAGGCTCCCTGCAGCAGCTTGATGCAGCTGTGCAATTCACCATGTATGGAGAAGACTGAATGAATGAATGGAAAGTCATCATTTGGCAGACAGGTTTAAAAACATGTCTCATGGTTTGGTGTGTGTCTCTATTTTTTCTATTAGAATTAATTGCAAGTGTACTGGGTATTTACAGACACATTTTCTCCATTTTATTTGTATAATCCATGCAGATGAAATAAATAAATTCCTTTTGACAGAGTATAACACTATGCATGTTTGCAGCTTCGCACCAGAAGCTTCATGTGCAGCCATATTGGGAGAGTAATGACAGGTATTCGCTCGTGAAATCACCCCCAAGTTTCTGCAGGTCACATCAACCCAAAGTGAACCAGGTCATAGTGCTGCACATTCCTACCAATCCAGGTCAAGGCCATCTGTACGGCAGCCAATCAGCTTTCACTTACAGTAAGAACAAGAAGAGAAAACTATCCATGAAAGTGTCGTCCACCCCTGGTTTCATAAAAACAATCATACAGATCAGTTTGTTGGGGATACTTAAACTTCAGGCAGCAGCAGAGGTTTGGAGTCACCCTCCATCTGGGCCCCCGTCTGTTTGTACATCTGTTTGACCAGCAAAACTTGTGAACTCCATGAAGACTGTGCTGGCCTTTTCCTCTAATGTATGGCACCTCTTTTTACTTTGATCAGATTTGGTCTGTTATTTCTGTCTGTGTAATGCTGACTTTAGCCTGTTATACTGGATTTGGATTGCCCCAGTTCTGCAAAATACTTAAATATTTAGATTGTGGATGCAGCTAAGCATGTTCAACAAGTGAGTCTAAGACAAATTTCACCAAGGGGACCGAAGTGTATCGTATCGAATCGAATCATTTTGTGTCATATTGTTTCGTACGTATCGTATCGCATCGAATCGCATTGTATCGTATCGTATCGTATCGTATCGTATCGCATCGTATTGTATTGTATTGTATCGTATCGTATCGTTATCTTTCCATGGCAAAATCTGCCATCTTCCTGGATGCTGATGAAAATGTTTTTGATGCCATACAGTGAAAATGTGCAGCTCAAGGCCAGCCAAGATCCAACTTTTGGGTATGAATTTTAGTGATAACTTATCTCTTATCGTGCTGGGCTTTCTGCAAGATAAGACAAGTAAATCATGTTTACTTGTTTGTTTTCATAGCAGGGCTTGGATTGTTGATTTATAAAGCAATCCCCGGACCTTGGGACATCAATATTTCATAATGTTTGAAAAGGCTGCTTCACCTTGGTTTTACTCACCTTATGAACTTTAGTAAAAACCACACCAGCCTCTAAAAGCTGGTTGAGCTGCCTTTTGCAGTAACATCATGTATTTCATTACTATTATGTGTCTGTCAGTGTAGCCTTTTAAAAATACGATAATATGAAATTTAGACTGATGCGAAGTGATCGACATTAATATTACTTTTGGCTCACTTTCTTAGAAATGAAAACTTGATTGCTATCTGAGTCACACTTGTAGAATATGACAGGAATAAGTAAGAATAATGATAGGCTAAATTCAGAAAGTAAAGGTAGTCTGGTGAATTAACAGCCTTTAAATGTTTGATTCCAGAGCTCTTAGTGGTGATACAAAAAGATGCAGTAATATTGAGTATGTGAGCATCTTTCCACAAACAGCAGAGTCTGGGCATGAAAGCTGGATTTATAAAGAGAAGAGACAGTCATTCCCTCAGATCAGAGTGACATGGACACTCTGTGAGGGTGGATTACAGCTGACAAGTACACTCTGCCTCCCCACGGATCACAGTGGAAACCTGTATAACTTATTTTTAACACTGAAGAGCAGCAAGAGTCGACAAAAAGTCAGAAGAGATTATATTTTTAAAAAGCACAAAAATGGATTAACTCTAATAAAACTTTAATCTTGAACATAAAATCTCTCCAAATGTACAAGTCCAATGGTCATCCTTTTTTTAGATTAAGGCCTGTTATTACCTGGACCTACAAAAAATCTTCTTGCACCCATGATAAATTGGCAATTTTGAGTTGAATGTCAAGTTTGGCCCTATTTTAGTGGTTTACAGAGTTTGTCATGAAACACGAAGTGGACTTATCTCAGCCATGCATGCTGCAATCTGACCCGAACTCAACATACATAGTAAGGGTCAGATTTTGAACATATAAATATAGAAATATCTGATCACAGTCATAGTGCCCCCCAGTGACAGGAAGATTTCCATTCACATTTTCTTTCTATGACATTGTTAATTTGAAATGTTTACTTCAATGTTTGTCTGTGCTGGAACTCTTCATGTAGTCTCATATGCAATCATATGCAGTGAGTCCACTCACCCAGCTGTGTGTAATACTTGATTCTGACTGTTAAAACACAAAAACTGTAACAACCCAGAT